AAAAAAAAAACGTCCGTTAAGGTTTTTACTCTACAGGTGTGACTTGAAACAGACATACAAGCAAATAGGCAACCAGATTTCGTGTGAGACCCATTGAAATGAATCCTACCAAGAAATCAACAAGCACCGCTCTTCTTGCAAGAGGCAGTATCAAAAGCATTGCTACAGTTGGTCATGTCGAACCGTCGCACACGTGCAAAGAATTATTAGCATCCTCTATACTGAAGCTCTGAAGCCACTGCAATCACATGCAGTCCACACACATTCTAGTGATACATCCATGTCTTTCATCCCTCCGAGATCGGTTATTTGGTACCAGGCTCGCCTAATTACATACATTTTCAAAAAGCCACTACGATCTGAACGGAAGTCGGATGCAGGAAGTCATCCCAGGACCAGGATTGATTAACGCATGAAGACCTTATCCCTTTTATTGTCAAACTTGTAATGTTACTGACTTGAACTCTTCTCGAGTTTGGTAGAGCCTTAATGGCCGAGTTTCGGTGAGAATATCTTTTAGAGCTTGTAGGAACGAAGCAGTTTTGGGATTTTCAAGGTTTTAATATACCGGAGTGTTTCGAAACATACAAACTTGTTTTCCTGATCCTTTCTCACCAAAGTTTTCTGTCGAGAACTCACCACCAGCCGTAAAATGGAAGCTATCACCCAGCTGGGAAACAATAAGAGAACCTCCACACACGACCTTCTATGAAGCTCGCCAATTACTCCCTCCTGTCTCCCCTGTCTCCACTGCGAGCTCAATGAAAAAATCTTGCACTGCATTAGTCAAACTTTCCTGCAATTATTGGCCTGTCGCTTTGTTGGTTGATGAAGAAGGAAAAATGATTTTCAAATTAAGCATACACATTGGAGGCTAGACGTTCAAAATCCATTGGCTGCTTTCATAGTCCGCCGGCCGGCGGACTATGAAAGCAGCCATTAACGCTATTGCGTTTATGATATACCTTATCTCTCATACCTTCACTGTTGTGCCCGATTAACTATGTACATCAGCTCTCAAAATTTGTGAGTCCTTGAATTTATCGAGCCATCAATTTTATAAGATTTTAATAAAACCTGCTGCCAGGATGCCAAGATTTATAGAGAGTTGAACATGGAGCTTATCGAGCCATCATTCTGTCTCTGAGTGAATATGGTGAATCCGTCTTCGAGATCGCTCTTCAATTCAGAATTTCCTGCACAACTTCCGTGAAGCACAGGCTAGTCAACGTTAAGCCCCGATCCAGTTTCTCCTACTCTCACGACTTCTTGGGTGAAAATGAAATGTTTAATGTAATGCATCCTGTGAAAGCATAGGCAACATGGCTGCCGAGTCGGGTGGGTCGCGTACTGTTAGCCGTTTCCCTCCTTCCGTGATGGAGTTCGGACTAGAATCTGTAAGAGAGCACTATAGCTATGCGTACGGTCATTTGGTGGCTAGACAGTATTTCATTTTAAGATGCGGATTCATTTATTTCCGTTCCTATGGGCTCCTCTGTGAGCAAAATGAATGAACGTCACTCTTCAGACGAAATGTCATGACCAATCTCGAAGCATACGCAATGATTGTAGAGAACTGTTCACTTTGTGAGATACCCTTGTCTGATTGGGATGATATGAATTGGAGAAGGCGGTATATTTCATTGTCTCTTCCTCATCCATGGAATGAAGATGCAGGTATGTTCATGATGAGCAGAGGGCCTATAAGGTCCCAAGGAAGTCTACCGTCCTGCTCGTTTAGGCCGGAGATACAACGGTTAGAGACAGCAGCGATGAACTCGCTATGGAATTGCAACTGCGAGAAGAGAAGGTTCGACCACTGTT